ACTCGCCCACTCTGGTTGGCCCAGCAGTTTCCTCCCCTTTTTTTAAATTGCACAATTTAAACGGGAATGTGGCTCACATTCTGAAAAGGCTAGGAAGCTGTCTAGCTTCACGACTCTGCCCAACACCCATTTTGTGCCCCAGCTGCAAATTCCGAACAGCGACGAAAACCTGTGGTTTCTTCCTAGGTCATCTGACAGCACCATGTGGTCTGTTGTAAATGCACCGGCCCTGGACGGAGCCGTTAAAGCTCATCCCACAGAGACGGCGGCTCCTGGCTTAGCTACCGACGCGTCAAGGCCCCTGGTTACGGGGTGCTTCCCCGCCCCCGTGGGGGTACCCGCCATCTTTCTAAAGCCTTAAGAGCTCTGCACTGCTCTGGGGCTCACGGGTTGAGGGCTCGGGACTGACCCACGTTTATTCCTACAGGACAGTATCAGTTTCCCCAGCCTCGGCGCCACGTGAAAGACTGACTTCATACTGATTTCAACCGTTTCCTTCCCAGAAAAGGCTTCCGTGGCCGCGGAGGCCGAGAGCCGCCCGCCCGCCAGCACAGGTTATGTTTACCTCCTGGCTCGCCCAGGGAAGGGGTTGGCACACTCCCTCATACTTCCTCGTTCTTCCTCCTGGGCGCTGAGCGGAGGCGCAGCTTCCTTCTCTCCCTGACCCCTTCCCACCTGCGACCCCTCCCAGCCCCGGGCCTGGCCTGCTCCCGCCCTCCCACCTCAGCGTGCCCCACCTGAGGCTCCCCTGCACTCCGCTGTCCTCCCATCTCTGGAGTTACTTTAAGGCAGAGGCCACCTCCAGTCCACCGGGAGCTTCTAAGGACACAAGCTAACTGCCTGGCATTTCCAGGACAAATGAGGTGGCCGGGGAGGCGTCAGTACAGGGGCTGGCCTCAACTCGGAAAGGAGCAGACCTGCGGTTTCCCCGGTAAACCACACACCAATCTGTTTCTGAAACAAACTGGAGAAAAAGCAGGTGGACGTCAGGACTCAGAGAGGTTACATCCCCGCCTCACCCAGGCAGAGGGGTGGCCACGGGGACAGGCCCGCCCTGCTCCCGGGAGTCCATGTGCAATGTGGAGGGATATAAGGCCGGAAGCAGCAGGACGGGGAAGTCGGGTGCCCTGTGGGCACCGGGAACAGAGGTTAAGGCGGATCCAGAGGAGAGGGGGGCCTCTCCAGCGCCGGTGGCGACTTCCGTGTGAGGGAGGGGGAGGCCATGGGGAGGCGAAGACCAGCTCGCAGGAACCGGGCCCACATGACACCGGGGGCCCGGACGGCAGGTAGTCAGGGCAGGACGCCCACTGCCCAGCCCAGCGCCCGGGGGGGACAGGGCCGCCGCCGCGCGTTCTCCTCCAGCCCTCGGTCTCCACGGAGCCCCCGCGCTCGGCCGAACCCCCGCCGGCCCGGCCTCCATCCAAGCCACAGCCCCCCGCACCCCGCAGGTCGGCCGCACCTGCTGCGGGCCTGCCCGGCCCCCGCCCGGCCCGCGCCCACCAGGAAGTGCCGGAGCCGAGCCCGGCGTCCCAGCCCCCACAGGCCGGCGCTTCCGCCCGCCCGCCGCGCGCTGACCCTCGGCGGGCGCCCGCCGGCCCGCGCCTCACCCTCGGCCAGGACCCGCCGCACCCGCAGCCGCAGCTCGCCCAGCTCCACCGTCTGCCCCACAAAGTCGGTCTGGTCGCGGCCGGCAGCACCGCCCAGGGCGCCCGGGCCCGCCAGGAAGTCGAGCGCGGACTGCAGCAACGACATGGCGGCCCGCGGCGGGCGCGGGGGCTCGGGTCCGGGGCGTCCAGGCAGCTGAGCAACCGCCGGCCCGAGCCGCACCAGCTTCCGCCCCGAAGCCGTGACGCAGGCCCGGAAGGACGCCGGCGTCTCACTTCCGCCCCCGCTGGGCGACGGCGCATGCGCGGAGCCCTAGGTGCGGGTTGCGCATGCGCGGCGGCGCCGGCCTCGCAGAGGACTTCCGGCTGCGGAGTTCCTAGCTCGGCAGTGATCGGCGCACGGACGCTCGGAGCGGTGGCCCCGGGGACTCCCGCCCAGGTAGTCCGGCTGCCCTTCAGCCCCGGGGGTTCCCCTGGGGGTCGAGTCTGCGGAGGCCGGCGGCCCGGTGCCCCGCCAGGCCCGGAGGAGCGGGCTGTGTGTGCGGCCGGCGGCCTCTGCCTGCGGGGGGCCAGGGGGAGCAGTGACAGCGGGAGCAGTGACAGCTGGGGAGCTTTATTTTATTTTTAAAATAAATTTTATTGATTTTTTTACAGAGAGGAAGGGAGAGGGGTAGAGAGTTAGAAACATCGATGACAGAATCATCGATCAGCTGCCTCCTGCACACACTCCCCCGCCCCCCCCCCCCGCCCCCTGCTGGGGATGTGCCTGCAACCGGTACACGCCCTTGACCGGTTTTGGCAGCTGGGGAGCTTTAGCCTGCAGCGACCCACAGCCCCTGCAGCTTGAGTGAGTAAGATTAGCTGCCCCTTGGAAGGCCCTGGCTTGTGGGGTTGGGGGGCACATAAGTGGGGTTGTTTTTAAGAACTGGTTGTTACTAAAGGCTGAAAACCTTAAACACCCAGTTTCCCAGTTTCTGTGGCAACATCACACCCAGAACCCCATGTGTCCCCCATCACCCGAGCCGCCCCCTCAGGGCATACGGTCATTCACCGACCTCGAGGCTGGTGTCTGTCTGTACCTGGCGGCTGCAGTAGGCGCCTGAGGCTGCAACCCCTCCACGGAGTATTCGGTCTCAAACCGAAAAAATGCACACGAAAGCCCATCCTCCCCGAATGCTCAGCTCTCAGAGCGCTTTCCAGACAGGTGGCTTTGTTGCCATCTCTTTTAAAAATATATTTTTTATTGATTTTTTTACAGAGAGGAAGGGAGAGGGATAGAGAGCTAGAAACATCGATGAGAGAGAGTCATCGGTCAGCTGCCTCTTGCACACCCCCCTGCTGGGGATGTGCCCACAACCAAGGTACATGCCCTTTATCCGGAACTGAACCCAGGACCCTTCAGTCCGCAGGCTGACGCTCTATCCACTGAGCCACACCGGTCAGGGCTGTTGCCATCTTAATAGTAACAGCAGCCTAGTTTGCCCAGCGCGTGGATGCTCACACATCCTTCTCTACCACCCTAGGGTACCCGGGAGAAGAAGGCATAGTCTGGTTATCCCTTTTTGGGGGTGAGAAAACATACTCAACAATGTCATTACTTGGCCAAGGTCAGCCCCTGAGCTAGCATGGCACACGGGTCCCATGGCTTTCCTGGCCAGTGCACTTGTCTGGAAAATGGAGTACAGGGGCCGGGGTGCCTGGCACCCACCCTCTGCTCTCCGTCTGGTCCTGACCACTCTGGGACCTCATGGAAGTGAGGTCACACAGCGCCTATCCTTGGTGACCACCCACGTCACTGTCGAGCATGGTATCCTTGAGGCCCATCTGTGCTGCAGCATCTGTGGGATTTCCCGCCCTTTTAAGGCTGCACAGCATCCTGCTCTACGGATGGACGTGTTTGCTGACCGTTCACCTGCAGGTGGACCGCTGGGTCGCCTCCACCGTTAGCTGCTGTGAGTAATGCTGCTGCGAGCAGGGGTGCGGCTCCATTCATAACTGCCCCAAACCGAGCACAACCCATATTTCACAGCTGGTGAACGGGGAAGCATACAGGTCCATCCACACCAGCACTACACTGCACAGAGAAAACATGAGTACGCACAAGACACGGACGGATCTCAGAGGCCTCATCCTAAGTGAGGGAAGCCAGGCTCGGGAGGTGCCGTGGGAAAAGCCACGATGACAGTAGGTACCTTAGTGAGCCCGGCTGGTGGCTCCGGGGTTGAGTGTCATGGTTCAGTTCCGGGTCATGAATGGGTGCCTGGGCTGCGGGCTCAATCCCCAGAGGGGACGCGCAGGAGGCTGCCAATTCCTGATTCTCATCACTGATGTGTGTCTCTCTCTCCCTCCCCCTTCCTCTCTGAAGGCAATAAAGATATTTTTTAAACAAACATAGGAAACTTGGTGGTGGCCGGGGTTAGTGGTGGGGGAAGGCCTGGCCACAAAGGGACTGCTCGGGGACAGACCGGTGTGGTTGTGGTTACCGGGGGACGTCCCTCGGTTCCTGTTGTGTCCGGGAGGCCCTGCACTTGTCAGAGCTCTTTAGCCCTGGAGCAGTGAGCGAAGTGAGGAGGAGAGACGGCTTCCGCCCGTGCCCCACCTCCCGCCAGGTCCTGAGGGCTGGGCGTTCTCACTCGTGTTGTGTTCTCGCCGTGAGGGAGGTGGGTGGTGGTTTTGTGTGAACGTTCACGTCAGTGGCCCGACGCTGTATCGTCGGGCAGTTTGATGTGTTCCTCTAGCATTGCTTCTGAGCTTTATCCACGTGGCTCTGCTTCATCCATCGTCACTTCCTATCTCAGCTCGGGCCACAGAGCAACGTACCACAGACAGGAACTTACCTGGGCGTCTGCGACCAGGTGGCAGCCAAGTCCGTTTTCGGGGAGGGCCGCACGCTGAGAGCGGGCGCCGGTCTCTGCTCACCAGGGCCCCGAGCCCATCATGCTCCCCCCCTCCTCCAGCCATCGGGCCAGGGCTTCCTTCCACATGTGACTCTTCAGGGACACACGCAGAGTGGAAGGAAAGGGAGTAAGAGAGGGGGAGAAAAAGACAGAGAAACATTGATGTGAGGGAGACACATCATTGATTGGTTGCTGGGGATCAAACCTGCAACCCAGGTATGTGCCCTTGACCAGGAATTGAACCTGTGACCCTTTGGTGCCGATGCGCCAGCCACTGCACCACACCCGCCGGGCAGTCCACGGCCCTTCCTGAGTCCCTTTGGGGTTTAACGTTTGCTCCCTTTAGAGGTTTGGGGCGTTAGCTGCTGAGCCCAGCGCGGTGTGGATCTGCATGCTGCTGCCCCCGCGGCCAAGGGACCCTGCTGGGCTCCCCGCCGGCCAGCGGGCAGGCCCAGAAGCACTCAGCAGGCTCAGGCCCGGCCTCTTCCCAGGCCCCGCCATGTCCGGCTCTCAGGCCCCGGAGCCGGCCCTCAGCGTGCAGGGAGACTCCACAGCCGCCACGGGGAACGAGGACACGGCCGACGACGACGACGGAACCCAGCATTCTCACCGCATGCTCAGCTTCAGCGACGCGCTGCTGTCCATCATCGCCACCGTCATGGTCCGGGGGTCGCCCAGCTCCGAGCCTGCCCCACCCAGAGCCGCTCCCACGGGACAGCCTCACCCGCCCGCCGCCTTTGGGTGCAGCCTGGCCCACCTCAGCAGCATCCTGGGCTCCCAGCCCCTCAGACAGCTGTGGGGGGAGGGAGGGGTGGAGAGGAGGGGGAAGGTGGAGGGGAGCGGCCCAGCAGGGACCAAACCCCCAATACCAGTGAGCGCCCAGCCCGGGAGACACACGTCCCTCTGTTCCTTTCGTGTGTGTTGGTAGATCCTGCCTGTGACCCACACGGAGATCTCCCCCGAGCAGGTACGTGGGCTCAGTCTAGAGCATCTGGTTCGGGGAGGTCCACTCCAGTACGTGGCTGTGCGGGGACGGGGGAGCCTAGGACAGGCTGGGGGGGGGGACGCGGGGAGCCTAGGACAGGCTGGGGGGGACGCGGGGAGCCTAGGACAGGCTGCGGGGACGGGGGGAGCCTAGGACAGGCTGGGGGGGGGGGACGCAGGGAGCCTTGGACAGGCTGGGGGGACGGGGGGAGCCTAGGACAGGCTGGGGGGGACGCAGGGAGCCTAGGACAGGCTGGGGGGGACGCAGGGAGCCTAGGACAGGCTGGGGGGACGGGGGGAGCCTAGGACAGGCTGGGGGGGGACGCAGGGAGCCTAGGACAGGCTGGGGGGACGGGGGGAGCCTAGGACAGGCTGGGGGGACGTGGGGTGCCTAGGACAGGCTGGGGGGACGTGGGGAGCCTAGGACAGGCTGGGGGGGACGCGGGGAGCCTAGGACAGGCTGGGGGGGGGACGGGGGGAGCCTAGGACAGGCTGGGGGAGGACACAGGGAGCCTAGGACAGGCTGGGGGGACGCGGGGTGCCTAGGACAGGTTGGGGGGGGGAGTGGGGAGCCTAGGACAGGCTGGGGGGGGGGGGAGTCTAGGACAGGCTGGGAGGGCGTCGGGTCCTGCTGTGGGTTCTCGGAGTGAGGACCTAATGGTGATGGCCTGAAAGACAGAGTGGAAAGGGTGCACTTCCTAAGGCCGAGTCCCTGGGCAGCCAGCAGGGTCCCCGTGGGCAGGGTCCCCATGGGCAGGGTCCCCGTGGCAGAATCCCCGTGGGCAGCCAGCGTGCAGCGTGTCTGCTCTGTGGGGTAAATAGCACAGTCAGGAGCTGGACCTGAGAAGCCACTGGGGGGGTCCTGGGGTGCCTCCTCCTGTGCCACCGGTGGCACCCTCTCAGCACGGCCGTGGTCTGGTCCCAGCCAGTGCGCATGGCCTGATGCCACGTGCCGTAGGTGCTGGGTGTGGCTTTTCCTCTCGGGGTTCGGGTGAGAGGTCACTAGGAGGGCGGTGGGTGTGCCTGGGCAGCAGCCGCCACACGGACGGGGCGGCGCAGTGCCGTCCGCCGCCCTGGGGCACCCGCCGTGCCGGGGCGAGCGCCGCCGCCTGGCCCTGACCCTGCGGACGCTGCTCCGTCCGCAGTTTGACCTCAGCATCCAGAGGCTCCTCGCGACCAGGATCGCCGTGTACCTGATGACGTTCCTCATTGTGACCGTGGCCTGGGCGGCTCACACCAGGTGGCCGGGCACACCAGGTGGCGGGCGGCTGCAGCTCCCCGGGGGGAGATCGTTGCCGGCTCCGCACTCGGCCCTGCCGTGAGGGGCCGCGGGCCCGGCTGACGCGTGTCCCGGCCCCTCTCCCGCTCAGGCTGTTCCAGGTTGTGGGGAAGATAGACGACACGCTGGCCTTGCTCAACCTGGTGAGTGTCCCCGCCGAGGGGGCGTGGCTGCGTGGGCGCCCCCCACAGCCCGCACCCTCCCTCCTGACCCCGCCCCGCCCCGCCCGCCCCAGGCCTGCATGATGACCATCACCTTCCTGCCCTTCACGGTGAGTACGGGCCGTGTCCCCCCGGGGTCCAGCCTGGGCAGGACTCAGGACCCAAGATGCTCCATCTCAGAACCTCAGCCCCACGGGGGTTTAGCCGAGGAGGAGAGGAGGCTGAGGGGGCACCGGGTGTGCAGGCGGGCGGAGGAGGGGCACCCCAGGGGCCCTAGCAGCCTGCGGGGCAGGGATGTGCCTGGGCCTCCCAGGCCGATGCAGGCGCCCCTCCCCGCTTACTGGTACTCCCAGCCTGTGGCTCCCCACCCCGCCTGCCGCCCCTGCCCCTGGCGGGGGGCCGTCCGAGGGCAGGGCCTGTCTCAGCGCTGAGGGCCGAGCTTCCGAGGGACTTGCCGTAGGTGGCGGCCGGCTGGACGGGCTGCGGGCTGCCCTGTGTTTGGCTGCAGTTTTCCCTGATGGTGGCCTTCCCGGAGGTGCCGCTCGGCATCTTCCTGTTCTGTGCCTGCGTCATCGCCATCGGGGCCGTGCAGGTAGGCGCCCGGCTCCCGCCGCAGAGCCTGCCCTCGGGGCCCGGCTCTGCTGGCCTGCAGCCGCCTCTCCCACAGGCGCTGATCGTGGTGTATGCCTTCCGCCTGCCCCACCTCCTGAACCCCCAGATCGGGCGTTCCGCCCACCGGGGCCTCTACCGGCGGCACATCCTGCACATCGTCCTCCGAGGCCCCGCTCTGTGCTTCCTGGCCGCAGGCTTCTCCCTGTTCTTCTACCCGGTGGTGAGCGGGTGGAGAGAGTGGCAGGGGAGGGTGGGGCGGGCGTGGGGGTGAAGAGGGGGGTGAGATGGGGTGGAGAGCAGGGGAGGGTGGTGGTGAGGCGGGGGGGTGAGGAGGGGGTGGTGAGCCGGTGGAGAGAGTGGCAGGGGAGGGTGGGGCGGGCGTGGGGGTGAAGAGGGGGGTGAGATGGGGTGGAGAGCAGGGGAGGGTGGTGGTGAGGCGGGGGGGTGAGGAGGGGGTGGTGAGCGGGTGGAGAGAGTGGCAGGGGAGGGTGGGGGCGGGCGTGGGGGTGAAGAGGGGGGTGAGATGGGGTGGAGAGCAGGGGAGGGTGGTGGTGAGGCGGGGGGGTGAGGAGGGGGTGGTGAGCCGGTGGAGAGAGTGGCAGGGGAGGGTGGGGCGGGCGTGGGGGTGGAGAGGGGGGTGAGATGGGGTGGAGAGCGGGGGAGGGTGGTGGTGAGGCGGGGGGTGAGGGGGGGGGTGAGCGGGGCCAGGGGCGGTGAGCTGGGCAGGGGGTGGAGAATGGGGAAGGGGAGGTGAGCAGGGGCGGGGTGGGGGGCCGGGGTGAGCGGGGGAAGGCGGAGGGGAGGGTGACACCCCCTGTGTGTGGAGAGGAGCAGGAGGTGGCATGTGAGTGTGTGCCCCTGCCTCCCTCGGCTCCTGTCAGCCAGGCCCCCAGAGGTGTCAGGTGCCCTGGCTCGTCCCCCAGGATGGACCCTGGTGCCAGGGGGCCGTGCACTTGGCCATCCCTCCTCCCTGGGCTCGGCCGCCGCGTTCCCTCCCGGACGACGCTCTGGCGGGGGTGCCGGCGGGGGTGCCGGCGGGGGTGGGTGTGAGGCAGGGCTCCTTGGCCACAGCGGCTGCACCTTCGGGCGTTCCTGCCTGCGTGCTTTCCCGCGCCCTCTCCTCTCAGCGGTGTCCGGTGCGAGGGCAGCTGTCCTGGGCGTCCGCGGGCGAGGGGAGCTCGCTGTGGCCGGGTCCCGTGCCTGCCTGTGCGGTGCTGAGCTGCCTCCTCGGGGACGGGCCCGGCTCCCTGTGGAGAGGAGCCGCGGTGGACGGCCGTGGCTGGTCTCTCAGCCGTGGCTGGTGGCGTCTGCTCCCTCCCTGAGCCGCTGCGCTGCCAGCCCCAGAGCAGAGCTGATGTGTCCGTGTCTCGCAGTCGTACCTGCTGATGGCAACGGTCGTCTTCCTCCCCTACGCCAGCAAGGCGGCCGGCTGGTGCCGAGCCAGGCTCCTGGGTGCGTCCGCCCGCCCGCCCGCGCCAGGCGCCCTGGGGTCCCCTCCGCCTGCCCGCCCTGGCCCCCGCCAGGCGCCCTGGGGTCCCCTCCGCCTGCCTGCCCGCCCCCGCCAGGCGCCCTGGGGTCTCCTCCGCCCGCCCGCCCCGGCCCCCGCCAGGCGCCCTGGGGTCCCCTCCTCCTGCCCGCCCCGGCCCCCGCCAGGCGCCCTGGGGTCCCCTCCACCCGCCAGCCCCGGCCCCCGCCAGGCGCCCTGGGGTCCCCTCCGCCCGCCCGCCCCTGCCAGGCGCCCTGGGGTCCCCTCCGCCCGCCCGCCCCTGCCAGGCGCCCTGGGGTCCCCTCTGCCCGCCCGCCCCTGCCAGGCGCCCTGGGGTCCCCTCCGCCCGCCCGCCTCGGCCCCCGCCAGGCGCCCTGGGGTCCCCTCCTCCTGCCCGCCCCGGCCCGGGGAGAGGTTGGAGGGTCCGCGGGGGTGAGCTGCTCCTGCCGCACACAGGCCCCCGGGAGCCGCCAGCCCCCAGCGTGGAGTTCTTCACCTTCGACCTGCAGGAGCCGCTCAGCAAAGAGCGGGTGGAGGCCTTCAGCGACGGGGTCTACGCCATCGTGGCCACGCTGCTCATTCTGGACATCTGGTGAGGTCCTGCTGGGTGGGCTGCCTGTCCGGGAAGTGCTCTGGTCGGGCCTCAGCCCCGGAGGATCCCCACCTGGCCGCCTCGGGTCCTGCTTCTACTCCCAAGGCTTCCTGCTTCCCGCCAGCCTCCCTCTTTGGTTTTTGTTCGTCCCCCCAGGGATGTTTCTCCCGCGGATTCTTAGAGAGTGGGAGGGAGGGTGGGAGGGAGGGGGAGAGAGAGACATGGATGTGAGGGCGACATCGATTGGTTGCCTCGCGCACATGCCCAGAGCGGGCGGGATCGAACCTGAAGCCCAGGTGCGTGCCCTCGACCAGGAATTGAGCCCACAGCCCTTTGGTGGGGCAGCGCTCTGACCACTGAGCACACTGGCCGGGGCCTCCCTCCGTTTCTCAGCCTTGTGCTCCTTGTTGAGTCAGCACATCCTATTTCACTGATGTGTTAGATCCCTGATTCCCTGTGTGTCTGTCAGCCTGAAGTCCAATTCTCTCTGGGTAACTCTTTTCACTGGAACTTACAAGTTTTTAAAATCGGTAGTAAGTGTCTGCCGGTGCCGATCTCTGAGGCCTAGACTTAGGCTTCCGAAATGACCGGTGGCCGGCTCAGCCCCCGCGATGTGTGGACAGCCAGGGTTGGGACGTTATTGCTTCCACTCTACCCTCCGGGCCATGAGGGCCTCACGGGTCCCCTGGGCTCTGTGTCCGCTTCCTCCTTCCTCTGTGTCCTGGAGTCCAGCCCCTCCCGCTGACGTGCAGCTCCCGGTGGATGTCCGGGCCCCTCACCGGGAGCCAGAGAGCTGCACAGGCTCCCGCTGCACCTGAGGGCAGCGGCCCCACGGCCTCGGGGGTTAGAGTCGCCCCTCACCCTCCCGTCTGCGGTCTGGGCCCCAAGTGGACAGGCCACTGCCGGAGGCTGGTCAGGCAGCCCAGAGGCCTCGGCTCGGCCCGTCCCGAGCCCTGATGGGGGGATAGGACGAACTTCATGTTCCAAAAGTCCGCCCGTTTGCCTGGCGTTCCCGGGCGGACGGCGGCCTGCGGGGCGGGCGCGGGCCCACGCCTGCTCGAGGCTCCGCTCCTCAGGTTCCGTGTGTGTGTGTGTGTGTGTATGTGTGTGTGTGTGTCCCCAGCGAGGACAACGTCCCAGACCCCAAGGACGTGGAGGAGAAGTTCCAAGGCAGCCTGGTGGCCGCGCTGAGCGTGGACGGGCCGCAGTTCCTGGCCTACTTCGGCTCCTTCGCCACGGTGGGGCTGCTCTGGTTCGCCCACCACTCCCTCTTCCTGCACGTGCGCAAGGCCACGCAGTCCATGGGGCTGCTCAACACGCTCTCGCTGGCCTTCGTGGGCGGCCTGCCCCTGGCCTACCAGCAGACCTCGGCCCTCGCCCGGCGGCCGCGCGACGAGCTGGAGAGCGTGCGCGTCAGCTGCGCCATCATCTTCTTCGCCGGCGTCTTCCAGCTGGCCATGTGGACGGCCGCCCTGCTGCACCAGGCCGAGACGCTGCAGCCCGCCGCCCGCTTCGGGGGCCGGGAGCACGCCTTCATGTGCGCCAAGCTGGCGCTCTACCCCTGCGCCAGCCTGCTGGCCTTCGCCCTCACCTGCGTGCTGAGCAGGTTCAGCACGGCCATCTTCCACAGCATGCAGATCGCCGTGCCTTTCGCCTTCCTGCTGCTGCGGCTGCTCGTGCGCCTGGCGCTGGCCCTCCTGCGAGCCCTGCGGCGCCTGGCCCCGCCCCCCCGGGACACCGCGGACCCGAGGGCCCCCCTGCTGCCCACCCCCTGCTAGCACTGTGTCACCCGGGACGCCGCGGACCCGAGGGCCCCCCTGCTGCCCGCCCCCTGCTAGCACTGTGTCCCCCGGGACGCCGCGGACCTGAGGGCCCCCCCTGCTAGCACCGCCCCCACTGGGACTCGCAAGCCCCCCTGTGTCCTGGGCCTAGGGGCTCTGGCGGCTGCACGGGGCTGGCAGAAGGGTGGTTGTGGGGCAGATGGGTGTGCGGGGGCCCTGGGTCCTCGGGCTCAGGCAGGCCGTCCTGGCACCCCGTGGCCCAGCCCTCCCACCCTCCCCACGGTGGCCCTGACGCAGAGACAGGCGGGAGACAAGGGAGGCCGTGCCAGACTGTATTGTGCCGACCCGGCCGGAGCTGCAGGTCGTGTGTGGCACAGTGGGCACCAGTGCAAAGCCACAGACGCAGGCAGACACAGGACAGCCCCGCCCACGGCTTAGGCGCAGCAGCGCCGCCGGCAGAGGGGACGCACAGGACAGGGCGGGGGGCGGGGGCACAGACGGACGCACGGACGAAGGCTGCTCAGTGCATGTGGGTGCGGCTTTGGCAGAAGCTGGGGGGAGGGGGGGACGTCTAAGGCTGAGCCAAACCTCAGGGCAGATAGCAGCAAAGGGCTCGGTGCTGGGCCGGGCGGTGGAAAGGGCATGGTTGGGTCCCCCTCCGGGCCTCGGGGGGGCCCAGGCCCAGCAGCTACGCTCCCACTGGGCCTCTGTGTCCATGTCCTTCGTTGGCAAACACCACAAAGTGCAGTGTCCGTGGCGACTAAAGCTGGTTCCTCCACGTCTCCCGTCTCCGTTCTCTGGTCCTGGGCTCAGGTCCGCGCGGCTCTGGTCCCATCAGGCACTCCTTCCCACCACCTCCAGGCACCTCGCCGCCCTCCGGAGGGGCCAGCCCCCACCTCCTGTGCAGTGCAGTCGCCACTCCTGGCCCCAGGCAGGCCAGGCCGCCCATGTCTCTGCCGGGCACCCAGGGCCTCAGGGCCGCTGCTCCAGGAGCTCCTGGCACCACCCGGGACAGGAGGCCCAGGCGCAGCCCTCAGGCCGCGGAGCCCTGCCCGCCGGTTGCCGGTTGGGAGGCAGGGTGTGGGAGGGGCACCCAAGGTCAGGGCTGCAGACACGTCCATCCACTGCCTGCCGCTGGGCTGCTCAGCGCCGCCTCTCCTTGGGGCCCACCTCGGGGGCGGGCCCCTCCTCTGCTCGGGCGTCCTTGGGGGTCCCGGCCTTCTTGGGCTTCTGCTTGGCCTTCCTGAGCATGTGGACCTGTCAGAGGGCAAGTTGCTGCCGGCCACCAGCCAAGGGCCGAGAACCCATTTCACAGGAGGGCAAGGAGTGGGGCCACGTGCTGTGGCCTGTGGGGCTGGGGCTCAAGCCCCTCCACGGCCCAGCAGACGCCTCCTCCAGGGGCTCGTGTCCAAAGGAGAGGGAGGTGCTCTCAAGGGCCCCCTCGCCCCTCCGGGCCCCGTGCCCTTCTGCCGCGCCTGCCAGCCCACCCGGTGCCCCCCACGACTCACCTTTGGGCCCACGGCCGAGATGATCATGTGGCCGGGAGCCTGGACCCAGGGCTCCCCGTCCACCTGCACGGGCGTGGCCTTGAGGAGGGTGACCCGGAAGTAGGCCCCTTGGGCGATGCGGATGCCGGAGCGCAGCCCGCCCTGGACCTGGCCCTGGGGGGCGGGACGCCAGGCGTCTGTCTCAGCACTGGGCGGCAGCACCTGGGCCCACCCCCGTGTGCATGATGCCTGTCTCCCCCATACTCACCATGTGCATGACACCCGTCACCCCCACCACCTCCAGCAGCCCGTCGTCCATCCGAGGCTTCTCAAACCTCGCGTCGCTGTCGGAACCCCACAGGTCAGCCCCGGAGCCCCAGCTGTGCAGAGAAGGAGGGGTGCACGGGTGAGGGTGCAGGCTGCCTGGGCCCCGGCCTAGCCAGAACCAGCGGGAGCTGAGCCCCAGCTGTGCAGGGGGGGGGGGCGGTGCACAGGTGATGGTGCAGGCTGCCTGGGCTCCTGGTCCGAGCCAGAACCAGCAGCAGGGAGCTGAGCCTGCTCCAGGGCAGAGAGGGAGGGGTGCACGGGTGAGGGTGCAGGCTGCCTGGGCCCCGGCCTAGCCAGAACCAGCGGCAGGGAGCCGAGCCCGCTGCGGGGCAGAGAGGGAGGGGTGCACGGGTGAGGGTGCAGGCTGCCTGGGCCCCGGCCTAGCCAGAACCAGCGGCAGGGAGCCGAGCCCGCTGCGGGGCAGAGAGGGAGGGGTGCACGGGTGAGGGTGCAGGCTGCCTGGGCCCCGGCCTAGCCAGAACCAGCGGCAGGGAGCCGAGCCCGCTGCAGGGAAACCCCCCCCCCCGGCACCTGGGGATGTTGATGAAGATGAGGCCCTCGATGCTGGGCAGCTCCACCTCCTGCTGCTCCACCTGCAGCCGGATCTCCTTGTGCAGCCCGCGCGCCTGGCTCATCCGCTGCAGCCCCACGCGCACGTACACGCCCTTGTTGTGGAACCTGCCGGGGACACCCTGCTGGTACGGGGCCTCGGCCGGCTCGGGAGCCCCGCCAGCACCTCCCAGCCCTGCCGGGCGGCCGGCCACCTGCTCGTGAACTTGCTGGGCTCCTCCTCGCGCGCCTGGTGGAAGTCCAGGCTGAGCTCGGCGTCGATGCCGATCCCACAGTAGTTGCTCATCTGCACGATCTGAGGGCAGACAGCTCCGTGGCTGGGCAGCCCCCCGCCCCCGCCCCACCCCACGGCCCTGCGTGCTGGGAGCTGCCCCTCCGCGAAGGCCTGCTTGGTGGCTGCCAGCACCAGAGAGGACCACTGGGCACTGCTGGCGATCACCGCCCCGAGCCTCAGTTCCCCTTTCCTACAGGGGATGGCTGGGGAGGGTCCCCCAGGGCCCCGGCCACCACGCCCCCCCGACGCCGCACCTTGGGGGGCTCCAGGTCGGCCACCCCGTTCTCGGTGCCGCCGGCCTCGTGCGCGTCCAGGAGGATGGTCCAGCGGTCCACCAGCACGGCGTCCGCCTCGTCCACCGACACCAGCACCGAGAGCGGGTCCTCGCCGCTGTAGCCCGGCCCCCAGCGGAGAACCCGGCCCAGGTCGTTCCCTGGAGGCGAGAGGCGGCCTGACTCCCCGAGCTTCTCCACGTCCCCCCGCCCGTCCCCCACGGATAGCGCAGGAGGGACTCCCCGCCTCCACGCCCACGGCTGCCCACCTGTGCCCAGGGGCAGGATGGCCACGGCAGGCTCCGGGCAGGCCAGCTGGTGCCGCATCTCCTCCAGGGCGGCCAGCACCCAGCCCACGGTGCCGTCCCCTCCGCACACCAGCACCCGGAACCGGGGCAGCTGGGCGAACACGTGGAGCCTGGAGGGAGGGAGAGGGAAGGAGGGGGACTGTCTGCCACAGGCAGGGGGAGAGGCACAGGCCCGGCCGCTGACCAGGCTGCAGCTCACGCCCACCTGAGACCCCGAAGCCCAGCTGTCCTCCCAGCCCACACACAGGGGTGAGAGCCCTCGCAGGGCCTGCCCCGGCCCCGCCAGACTCACCCGGGCAGCGGCCCCCCGTTGGTCAGCTCGAAGACCTGGTGTGGGTTCAGCAGCTTCCGGAAACTGCAGAGCAGGTCTCGGCCCTTGAGGCCTCCACTCTTGGGGTTCACAAACACGAGGAGGGGGCAGCAGTCCGGGGGCAGCTTCGTATGCTGGAGACAGGGCCGAGTTATGGCAGGCAGGCGTCTCCCCACCTCGCTGCTGCCCCACCCTCAGCCCACCAGCCTGAGCCCACCCAGAGCGGCCGCTCCCAGGACAGGCCCAGGGAGACACACGGCATCCCAGCTCGTCCTGACCTCTAGGGACCCGGAGGCAGAGGGGGCAGCGGCCACCAGGGCTCCAGCTCACAGGCCGAGGCCCAGCTGCTGACACTCCCCTGAGACCTCGCCCACCCCCTCGTCCAGGCCGCACAGCCAGGCTCCCCCGGCCCCCGGCCCCCTAGAGCCTCCCAGGAGCCAGGTCACGGGAGGCCGCACACCTCCCTCAGGGTCAGGACACCCAGCCCAGGAGACGGCGGGCAGGAGGCTGAGCCCCCACAGGAAGGTGGCCGCTGGCGGAGACATATAGCGGCACTAACAGTAGCCCAGGACAGAGCTGCCTGCAGCTCCCTTCTCCGCTCACTGGGCAGGAGGCTCTGGGAGGGAAGTGTGAGTCGGCACCGGCCAGCTCTGCCCAGGGCTGCTGGGCGCCCTGTCCTGAGCAGGGGGAGGGCAACAGGCACCTGAGGCATCACCCACTCGGTCACGCTCAGGTCACAGCTGTCATTCTGCCGCCCTGGGACCCTCAGGGGCTGGGCGGCTGCCGACGCCTGGAGACCCCGCGCCCTGCCCTGACCCATGTTGTGCCCATAGTGGAGCCCACCCTTGTCCCATCCCGGGCTGGCGCCTGGCACCCTCCTCTGAGACCCTCCTCCCCCAGGCACCCCTCCTCTGGCAGTGCTGGGTCTGCAGGACGCTTTCTGGTTAGAGAGTGCCCCCTGCTGGCCGAGATGGCCAAGGGCACAGGCAGGGGGCCAGGCCCAGAGACCCAGGGAGGCGAGGGCCTGTGGGAAGTCTCTGGGTCCGCAGGGCCCCTCACGGGTGTGAGTCAGGCGTACGGCGCAGACGCCCAAGCCATAGATTAAACCGGTAGAGCAGCCCGGCCCCCGGGCCCGGCCCCACTCACCAGCACGTCCGGCAGCACCAGGGCGGTCAGCAGCCGGCCACGCACCGCGGTGTCCCTCACCAGCATATACAGCCGCTCAGCCTCGGCGAAGCAGGCCACCTCCAGCACCACGGCCCCTGTGGCAGGTGGCTGTGAGTGCGTGGTCCAGAGGTGCAGGCCCACACCCGGGGAGCCTCCGGCACCAGGAGGCAGTGCGGGAGGAGAGGGAGGGTCTCTGGGCGCAGGACGGGACACCTCTACCTCCCCCCTCCACCCCGGCCCACTTCGCTTCTGGGGACAGGAAGTTTTCCATGACAAGCACGCAGGTCCGGGGGCAGGGGGCAGAGTCCCGGCCTGGTCACGGTTTAGCAAAGCGTGACCCCGAGGGCCAGGGGACCAAACACACGCCCTCACCCGTGGCTCCTGTGGCCAAGGGGCGGGGTTCTTCCCGTGACCCTGAGGGCCAGGGGACCAAACACACGCCCTCACCCGTGGCTCCCGTGGCCTACTGACCGCAGGAGCGACTTCCGGCCTGCTGACGGGCGGGGCGCTCACCTTGGGAGGAGTACACGTGGCTCAGGGTCACCAGCTCCGCTGCAAAGATGGGCGGGTCAGGGGGCAGAGGCCACGCCAGCCCAGCCCCGTGTGCAGGGGAACGGCCCACCACGTGGCAGAGCCAGCGACCCCAGGAAGGGCCCCCCCAACTCCAGGCACAGCTCCCCGCATGCCCCCCGCTTCCCGGTCCCAGAGCCTAGAGCAGAGACTGGGCCCCAGGAGGCTCAGAGCCCCTCGAAGGAGGTGTCAGATCTGAGCCCCAAGGGGAGAGACCCCGAGTGCGGAAGGCTGTGGCAGCCACGGGGAGTGGGGGGAGCTGGCCCCGAGTCTGTCTCGGGGCCCCCTCTGCTCCCCGGTAGCTGCAGCCCAGGCCAGCCCCGGCGGTCACACCTTTGGTGGCCACAGCCTCGTCCAGCAGGCTTCCATACTCCTGGAGGGACAGGCCGGGGGGCAGGCCCCCGACGAACAGGGAGACTCGTGGGACCACCGCCTTGCGCTCAGCCACGTAGAAGCGCGTCTGGCTCATCTGCCGCAGGGACGTCTGGGGGGGAGGGGCACGGGGCGGGTTTAGCACAGCGCAGGCAGCACCCCGCTCCTGGCCCGGCCTGGCCACCCACCGGGAAAGGGGGCCTGGGGAGGAGGGGAGGAGAGGACACAGGCTCCCACTGCAGGCCCCTGGGGACTCGGGGGCTGTGGCCGAAACCCCACCTTCTGTTGGGCAGCAGACGTGCGTGCGGGCCTGGGAGGAGGCCTGGACGGTCAGCTGCCCCGGGCAGCCCTGGGGTCCTCTCTCGGGGACCAGTGGCTCCGGGCCACACTCACACCCTGACCTGCCGGATGTCCCGAAGCCGGTCAAGCACAGACTCCTCCTCTGCCAGCACCGTCCGCTGCACTGCGGGGGAGCACGCCGTCAGCCGGCACTGAGCGCCGCGCCGACAGCTGCCCGACCCCGGCCCGGCCCTCACCTTGCCTGCTGCCCATGAGCACCTCCTCCAGCTGGAAGCTCTCGGGACCCTCGGCCTGTGGGCAGTCAGGTGTCAGGCCTGGACCAGCCCCCGCTCCCAGGACACGGGCACCCCCACGGGGCGGGCACCCCCACGGGGCGGGCACCCGGGCAGTACCTGTCGCCCCAGCAGTGGGAGGACCTCCTGCACCACGGACCGCGCCGTGCTCTCTGGGGTCACGCGAATGGACACGTAGGCCACGCCCACCCTGCAGGGGACATGCTCGGAGCTGGGGCCACACAGCCCAGGCCCCCAATCCCTCCTCCCCGGCACGCAGACTCCGTGCCCCAGCCTGGGCCTCACTTGAGCCAGGCAGGGTAGATCTTCAGGACGTCCTGGGTTCGAGGGAGGGCGCGGATGACCCAGGCCTCAGGGGTGGCCTCTCGGGCCCGGGGGCCCCTGCCGCCTTCCTCCTCCGGAGTCCTGCCGCTCTCCGCCTTCCCTGCGGCCCCCGCGCAGCCGGCCTGCGGCGGCCACGGCACTGCCTGCAGCTCGAAGGCCCGGGGGTCCTCGGTGAGGTGGTAGGCCCGCAGCGCGGCCTCCTGGGGCAGCCATTGGTTTTTAGAGAGCGCGGACGGGAGAGGGAGAGGGAGAGAAACGTGGATTGGCTGCCTCCCCCCGCAAACACCCCGAGTGGGGCGGGGGCCAAGCCTACAACCCAGCTACATGCCCTGGATGGGAATCGAACCCAGGACCCTTCCATCCCAGGACGGACGCTCCAGCCACTGGGCCACCCGGGCCAGGGCCGGGCCTCTTACCAGCACCTCCTCGCTGCGGGCCGGTCGGGGCACGCTGACCACCAGGAAGCGGTTCCGATGCACCGCGTCGCTGCCGTCGAAGATCCTCAGGGCCTGCTTGTCTGGCGGAGGAAGCGGGGTGAGCCGAGGCCGGGCTGGGGGGCTGGCGGGCGGGAGGGGGCGGGGCACCTACTGGACTCCGGCGCCGGCACCTCCCTGCCCGGGCCCGCGGGGTCGCCGCCGTCCTCGCTGTCGCCGGCGTCTGCGGGCGCACAGGGCCTCACTCGGGGTCCCGCCCGCGGCCCCCGCCCCGCCCGCCCCACTCACCGGGCTCGGGGCAGGCGCGCTCGGAGATGCGGAAGAGCTGCGTCTTGCTGAAGCTGCGGGACAGCAGGCGCACGCACGCGGGCGGCAGCACCAGGCTCCGCAGCTGCCCGAACGTGCACTCGGGGGCGAGCGCCGAGGAGCAGGCCGTGTGCACCTGGGGGCGCCGCACCGTGAGCAGGGCCTCTGCGGGGGAGGGGGCCCCTGGGGGGGAGGGGGCCCCGGGGGGGAGGGGGCCTCTGCGGGGGGGGCCCTGCGGGGGAGGGGGCCCCTGGGGGGGAGGGGGGCCCTGCAGGGGGGGCCCTGCGGGGGAGGGGGCCTCTGTGGGGAACGGGGGGCCTCTGCGGGGGCGCCCTGCGGGGGAGGGGGCCCCTGCGGGGGAGGGGGGCCCTGCAGGGGGGGCTCTGCGGGGGAGGGGGCACCAGGCTTCCCTCAGCGACCCCACAGGGCCCATGCCGACTGAGGGCTCCCACCACACGGAGCCCCGCCCCCACCACAGGGAACCGCCTCTACGTACAACGGGGGACCCCCATCCAAAAGATCCGGGTCTCCCTGACCCTGCCCACGGGGACGTGGCACCCCTCCAGCGGGTCCACCCCGCCTCCATCCTCCTCCTCCCCGGGTTCCCCCCCTTTAGCCCCAGTTCCCGCCCTCCAGCCCCCCTCCGCCCCGGGTTCCCCCCCTCCAGCCCCCCTCCGCCCCGGGTTCCCCCCTCCAGCCCCCCTCCGCCCCGGGTTCCTCCCTCCAACCCCCCTCTGCCCCGTACCCCCCTCCAGTCCCCCTCCGCCCCGGGTTCCCCCCTCCAGCCCCCCTCCACCCCCCCTCCACCCCGTCCCCCCCTCCAGCCCCCCTCCGCCCCGTCTCCCTCCCCTCCAACCCCCTCCACCCCGTCTCCGCCCTCCACCCCCCCTCCAGTCCCCCTCCACCCCGGGTTCCCCCCTCCAGCCCCCCTCCACCCCGTCCCCGCCCTCCGGACCCCCTCTGCCCCCTCCCCGCCCTCCGGACCCCCTCCGCCCGGTCCCCCCTCCAGCCCGCCCGCCCACCTGGACGCCGCACCACTCGCAGCGCAGACCGGACAGCACCTCGGAGGAGCCGCACGCCTTCCGGCACACCTCGCAGCGCGCCCCCGAGGGCAGGTTCCCCTCCCGCCAGTGGTGCTGGGGCGTGTCCTGCGGGGGAAGCGGGGGTCAGGGGCTCCCCGCGGCCCGCCCGCCCCGCCCCGCCCCGCCCCGCCCCCGGCCCGCCCGCCGGCGCTCACGTGGTCGCGGTGCCCGTCCCGGTGGCACTGGCGGCAGTCGCTGCAGGCGAAGGGCACACAGGCCGGGTGAACGTGCAGCTCACACACTGCGGGGCGGGCAGAGTTAGGGCCTCGCCCGCCGGCCGCCCGCTGAGGGCGCCCTCCTGGGCCTGGGCCGGGCCGGGCCACCCCCTCTCCAAGCCGGACCCTCCGCCTGCACTCAGCGGCCTGCACCTCCCGGAGCTCCAGCACCGAACCCGCCCCAGGCCCCTCCGCCCGGAGCCTGCCGCCCGCCCGGGAGCTCCAGCACCGAACCCGCCACAGGCCGCCGGGCCGCGGTACCTTCGCAGCGCAGTGCGGGCGCCTCCAGGCTCCGGCGGCACACGGCGCAGAACTTGCGCTTGTAGAGCCCGCGGGGTCCAAAGCAGTGGGCCACGGGGACCTGGGGGGGCACAGCCTCAGCCCCAGCTGGGCCCCTGGACACGCAGCCCCCCCGCCCTCCACACCCCAGAGAGACCCCCGCCCACCCTGCCTGGCCCCCGCAGCCCCCCCCCACCCTCCACACCCCAGAGAGACCCCCACACACACCCGAGAGACCCCCGCCCACCCTGCCTGGCCCTGCAGCCCCCCACACACACCCCAGAGAGACCCCCGCCCACCCTGCCTGGCCCCGCAGCCCCCCCCACACCCCAGAGAGACCCCCGCCCAGCCTGCCTGGCCCCGCAGCCCCCCACACACACCCCAGAGAGACCCCCGCCCAGCCTGCCTGGCCCCGCAGCCCATTCTCCTGCACGCTCTTCCCAGGGGCTGTGAGGGGTCTGCAGGGAAGCCTCCCCGACCCTCCCCACTCCCAGGGCAGGCCCCACTGCGACCTCAGGAAGCCCCCACTGCCGGGGCCACCCTGCTGGTCCTTCCCTGCCCAGCCGCTGCCCGGGGCCGGCACTGACCGCTTCCCTGGTCTGCTTCCTAGTGGTGCATTGGGGCAACCAGAGGAACCCCATGGAAGAGGGCCCACCAGCCGGCAGGAGCCACTGGGAGGCGGAGGACACAGGTGAGCACAGAGGGCAGTGAGGCCTGCTACCGCCCTGGGAGGGACCATCCCAGCCCCTGGCTGGCCCCGGCCCTCCCACCCCGCTGCCCGCGGAGCCCTCACGCCCTCCCACCCTGCTGCCCGCCCCTCCCACCCCGCTCCCCCCCCCCACCCGCTGCCTGCCGGCGGGAATCCATACGCACTCGGACCAGGCTGGGCGCCACGCTGGTGCACGGGGTCTTAACCTGCCTCACGCACTTCTCGTGGGACATGAAGTTGCAGGCTGTGGGGACAAAGCCGTGTGCTGCCCAGGAGACCAGAGACCACGGCGTGGCCTGCAGATGGCGGCCTCAGCCAGCGGCACCCCAGTGTTCTGCAGGGCAGAGTGCCCGTCACGGTGGATGCCCTCAGCCCTGCCCCATCCCACTGTGGGGGTGTGGTCCCCGCCATCTCCCCCGACCCCGTACTCTCCCACTCCCCAAGGTCATGGGGGAGAGGAAAGCCAGAGTAACAGACCACCCTCCCAGAAGCACAGAGGGACACCTTGACCCTCACCCCACCCCCCATCCCTTGTCCTGAGAGCCCAGATTGGGGGACAGGGTCTGGTGACTGACCATCCTGGGTGACAGTTCTGGGACCTCAAGAGTGGGCCTCCTGCCACACGCAGCTCAGCTCTGCTCCCTGCTCTGCAAGGGCAGGCAGGCAGGCGGAGGGGAGCCCTACAGGTGGGACCCGCCAGGCCGGCTGGGAAAGGGACGCCTTCCCTCACTCACACAGTGTTCACCCAGTTACTCCCCACCCCGGGTGTGCCTGCCGAGACCACAGCCAGGCACCCCTCCACCACAGCCAGGCACCCCTCCACCGGGTGTGTGCCTGCCAAGCCCACAGCCAGGCACCCCTCCACCCAGTGGGTGCCTGCCGAGCCCACAGCCAGGCACCCCTCCACCACAGCCAGGCACCCCCCCACCCCCACCCCGTGTGTGCCTGCCCCCTGAGACCAGAACCACTGAGGCCCCTTGGACAGCTGGCCTGGGAGGGCTGCCCGTGCCCGTCCAGAGGGGTGGGCAGCCCAGAGGCTAACAGCAGTGAGCACCCAGGCTGTGCTGTGCTCCCAAGGGCCCCCCTCCCATTCTGGACAGGCCCGGCGAGACCACGGTTCAGCGTGGGATGGACCCCAAGGCCAACAGGAGCGGGGACCTCAAGAAGAGGCCTGTGAGGATGGGGCCTGGTGGGGGGTCCTGGGGGGATGGGATGGACGGGCTGCAGGGGCCGGGGAGGGGCAGGTGGTGGAGGAAGACTGCCGCCCGGCCTCCCGGCAGCCCCGTCCACCCATTCCCCCGAGGGAGGCAGACAAGCTTCGGATGGGAGCAACCCGAGGCCTGGCTTCACAGAAAACTCCAGAAGCAGCCGGGCTCAGGGGAGAGGTGTGGAGAGACACAGGGCTGAGCAGTGAGCCCCGCACCAGCTTCCCCTCCCGGCACCCGACCCGCTCGGCCACAGAGGGCAGTGCTGTGAGCAGGCAGTGCCCAGCTTCCTGCTCTGGCCACGGAGATAGCGCCCATCACCCCACCCACAGGTCCCGGTGCTCCTGGCGGGGGCGGGGGAGGGGTGGTCCTCCCCATCCCCATCAGGCCTCTGCTTGACAGACAGTGCCATGTTTCTGACAGGACAGAGAAGCCAGGGGACACACACACACACACACACACACACACACACACACGCACCGTGCAAGCCTGCCTGTCCACCTTGGGGCAGCCCCGGGGCGGGAAGGAGGTCAGGACAGCCATGCCACGTACCCTGGCAGAAGGACCTGTGTGAGGGGCCAAGGCTCTACAGACCCCTGCCCAGTGCCCTCTGTCCCAGAACCAAGGCCTATCTCCCTGTCCCCACGTGGCTGAGGGAGGGGCAGGACTGGAAGCACCCCCCCCCCAGCTGCCCAGGAGCCAGAGGAGGGCGGGCCCTTGGCCCAGACGCTTGGCAGCTGGATGGGAGCCCTGTCGGGACACGCCGCAGGTGGGACAGCAGCCTGGGGAGGGCTGTGCGGAGCCGAACCCGAAGCCGAGCAGCAGGCAGCAGGCAGCAGGCAGCAGGCAGCCCGGGGCGGAGGGCCAAGCAGAGCCCAGGAGCCGGAGCCAGACCGCCCCGCGGGAGGAGTGGGCTGCTCGGTGCTGGCCTCGCTCCCAGTGGCTGCACCTGCCCCCCCGCCCCGTCCTGCCCCAGGCAGGCGGGGCCCCACTCTCCCCCACTGAGTCCGGACCCAGGTGCGGACCCGCAGGGAGTCCTGGCGGAGGGGCGCAGGCACGGACGCCCCAAACCCTAGCAGCGCTGTCTTCACCGCCTCCCGGGGCGGTCTGGCCCGCACGTTCCTGCCCCGCGGAAGCCGCCCTGGGTACATGGCAGGGTACCTCGGGGACCTGGGCGCGGGCCGCGGGGCCGGGGGCGCGGGGGCCGGGCGCGCGGGGCCGGGGCCGGGCGCGCGGGGCCGGGGCGGCCGCCCCCCCGGGGCTGCGGGCGGCGGGCGGCGATGGGTCGGGCGCTCACCGTCGCACAGGAAGCCGGCCAGCCCCCAGATGAAGTCGGAGCAGAGGTGGCAGAAGGTGGGCTTGGTGAGCATCACCTTCCGGAAGGAGTGGCCCAGCGCCGCGGCGCCCGGCCACCTGGCGCCGGCCCGCTCGGGCCCCGACCCCGGCCCGGCCCCCGGCCCCGGCCCCGGCCCCGGCTCCGGCCGCGCGCGGCCTCCCCGGTCCAGGTCGGGGCTGGAGGCCGGGCTGCCCGCGCGCGGCGAGCCGCCGCCCAGCCAGGCGCGGGCCCCGGACTCGGCCGCCGCCGCCATCTCCGAGCCGGGCGGCGCAGACCCGCGCTGCGGGCCGGGGAGGCCGTGGTCCCGGCGGCGCCCCCGCGGTCCCGTCCGCCAGGCTTCCGACTGCGCCCGCCGCCTCTGCGCAGGCGCGCACTCCGGGACCGAGTCCGTCCGGCGGCGGGCGGGGCAGGATGCTGTGCCGAGCGGGGTGCGGCCAGGGGGCGGGGCCGGGATTCGGGGCGGGGCCCGCGGGGATAGGCGGGGCTGACGCGGTAGTGAGCGCTGAGAGGGCAGGGGCTAGGGGCGGGGCCTAAGGGAGCAGGGCCTATCGGGGCGGACCTGAGGGGCGTGGCTCTGGGCGGGAGGCGGGGCCGGGATTCGGGGCGGGGCCCGCGGGGATAGGCTGGGGGCGGGGCTGATGCGGAAGTGAGCGCTGAGAGGGCAGGGCCGAGGTGACATGGGCGGGGCCTAGGGGAGCAGGGCCTATCGGGGCGGGCCTGGGGGCGTTGCTCCGGGCGGGAGGCGGTCCTGCGGAGCTGGGGTCCTAGTCAGGGTCGGACCCCGCCGCGTGGGGCTGTCTGGCGAGCAGGACGGCGCCCGCCTCGCCCGCCCACGCGGTCTCCCCACATCCACGCGAGGTTCGGCACCTGCGGCGTCCCGGAGCGCGTCTGCGCAGACGGGTTTCTCCCGCGGTCCCCGTTCCCGCCTGTGACTCCCGGGGGCGCAGGGCGACTCGGGGCCAGGCCGGCGCCCCCGGAAAGGAAGAGGGGCCAGGCCGGCGCCCCCTGACGGCAGCTTCCCCGGCGCCCGGCCCCATCCTCACCGCAAACCGGGGCTGATGCCTCACCAGCGTCCGCCGGGACCAGGCTGCTGCCGCCACGCCTGTGGGCGGGTGGCCCTCCCGACAGTGGTCCCACCCGCAGCCCCGCCGCTGGGCATCGGCTCTGCTGAGGGGCAGCCCGCCAAGCCCACCGCCTGGGCTTGTGGCCTGGAGCTGTGACCTCCTGGTTCATAGGGCAATGACGCTCCAGCCTGGAGACACACTATTCAGGGCAATGATACTTTTAAAAATATATATATATACACACATATATATATTATTGATTTTTTTACAGAGAGGAAGGGAGAGGGATAGAGAGTTAGAAACATCAATGAGAGAGAAACATTGATCAGCTGCCTCCTGCACACCTCCTACTGGGGATGTGCCTGCAACCCAGGTACATGCCCTTGACCGTAATCCAATCTGGGATCCCTTCAGTCCCAAGGCCAAAGGTCTATCCACTGAGCCAAACCGGTTAGGGAGCAATGATACTTTTTCACCTAATTTTGTCTTGTCTCTTTTTACCCTGATTTTGCGATATCATTTTCCAGGGAGCAAAGAGAAAGCATCTAGTCCCTGTGGCACAGGAAGCAGGGGAGCAAACAGGGGTGGCTGTTCACAGACGCATCCCCTCCGCTGTCAGGTCTGGAGAGGACTTTGTCCAGCTCCTTCCACCGCCCACTGGAGAGTTCTTGGGGCGTTCCCGTGCGGGGATATCTAAGATGCCCCCTCTGATCCCGGCCTGGTCACCCGGCTGTTTATCTGGCCAACCAGCACTTCCTGTGAGGCCGCAGCCGTGACCCTCGCCCGGCAGCCAGTCTGACTGCCTTGGGTGTTCCAGGCGCTGTTCCTGCCGGGGTGTCTGGCGCTGACCTCGCTATCCGAGGAAGGACTGCAAGTGACACAGAGGACACACCCAGCTAACCCGGCCACTGTTCCCTCAGCTCCACTCCCCTCAGCCAGGTCCCAGAGGCACCCGCCTCCCCAGCACCACCCCAGCAAGGAAAGGGCGTGGCCGGGGGGGGGGGGTGTGAGATCGTGGAGACCTCAGGGGCACAGATCTCAATTTGGTGATTTTTACAAAAAGAGGTGGCCCTTCGGAGCCACGTCACCGTGCGGCCTGCTGTGTCCCTGGGGTGCCCGGGGCCACCCCCTCTTTGGGCCCTGACAGTGGAGCCGGGTCGGACAGCACCTGCCTCTGTGTGTGTCCGGGGGGGGGCGGGGGGGAGGGAGGACCAAGTCCCTAGAGGCCAGCTGCCCGCCTGGTCCCGTGCTTGCATTCCTCCACCGCGGAAGCAGCAGCACAGCCTGTGTGTCCCAGAACTTTCCCCGAGCCCCGGCTGCTGGCATGCTCAGGGGTTGACCTATGAACCAGGAAGTCATAGTTTTTTGTTTGTTTTTTTTAATCAATCTTTATTGTTCATATTACTACAGAGGTTCCTCATTTCTTCTCCCCCCCCCCGCCCCCCGCCAGGTTTCCACCCCACCCTCCGCCCCCTTCCCCTCCCCCATTGTCCTCATCCATAGGTGCACAGTTTATGTTCAGTCTCTTCCTCCCTCCCTTTCCCCGATAGTAAATCCCTTTCCAGATAGTAATTCAGTTACTTAGCATTTTCTCATATCAATAATACCTCCACATGCCCAATGATACACTTCTCACAAAAGACATTTCCCAATAGGTCAACCAACCTCATCCAGGCCCCGCACAAGGCACTTACAGATCAACACCCCAGCGCTATACTAACTCAACACATCCAGATCTAAGCCTTCATCACTTGATTCAGCAGACCCTCAAGTTCCCACGAAAGTTTCCAGCCATCTCTGAGAGGCAGCCTTGGGGCGGGGGTAGGCGAGGAGCGAGCTGTTCCAGGCCTGGCTGCTTCGGGCCTGGCCTCTGTTGCTCTGGTTCGTTCCACAACCAGCTGCTCCGGGCCTGGCCGCACCCGACCTGGCTGCTCTGGGCCCTGCTGCCAGGAAGTCATAGTTCGATTCCCAGTCAGGGCACAGGCCCAGGGTGTTAGATGTTTCTAGCACTCTCTCCCTCCATTTCTCTCTGAAGTCAATATATGAGGCCTGGTGCATGAATTCGTGCATGGGTGGGGTCCGGCCAGCCTGGCCAGGGGGAGGGACATGGGCCGTTGGCTGGCCTGCCTGCTGGTCGAACTCCTGGTCGAGGGGACAATTTGCATATTAGCCTTTTATTATATAGACTATACACTGAGTGGCCAGATTATTATTATGCGTTCAGAGATTATAATAATCTGGCCACTCAGAGTTTATGTGTGTGTGTATGTGTGTGTGTGTGTGTGTGTGTGTGTGTGTGTGTGTGTGTATATATATATATATAGAGAGAGAGAGAGAGAGAATAAAATAAAATGTGTTACTTTAAAAAAAAAATAGCCAAAACCGGTTTGGCTCAGCGGTAAAGCATCAGTCTGCAACTGAAGGGTCCCAGGTTCAATTCTGGTCAAGGGCATGTACATTGGTTGCAGGCACATCCCCAGTAGGAGGTGTGCAAGAGGCAGCTGGTCGATGTTTCTCTCTCATTGACGTTTCTAGCTCTCTATCTCTCTCCCTTCCTCTCTGTAAGAAAAATCAATAAAATATACTTTAAAAATAAAAATAAAATAAAAATAAAGTAAAAATAAAATAAAATGTGTTCCCAGGATATGTTCCCAGCAAATGTGGTAAGGTGACAGAGAGAGGCAACTGCCTTTGAAGGAACAACTTACCACTTAGACATCCCAGGAGAAGGGATAACTGGGCCATGCAGGGCCACACAGGGAAGCCCCAGTGTGGGCCTGGAGGCAGACTCAGGAGCCCAGAGCCCCGGTCTGATTGGGGCGCTCACAGGAGGGAGAGGGTGAGTTCAGGGTGGCATCGTGGGGACAGACTCAGCAGCCGGGCGCAGGGAGGGCAGGCCCTCCTGTCAGGGACCTGGCGTGGTGTCTGAGGTGCGATGGTGAACTGGTGGGCGCGGGCTCTGGATGGACTGACTTGTAATCAGAGGTGTCCACGGGGGCGGCTTAGCCGGCTCCAGGGACTGGAAGCCGTGGGGTTGGGGCAGTCTGTCCAGAACCAAGGCCCCAGGAGTCCGGAATACAGAGCACAAGCAGATACAGTAAATGGAATCGGGCGGGCAGACAGGCGGAGGGAGGAGGGATCGTTTTTGCCTGTCTGGAGAGGCAAGCCAGACTCTGCCTAAGAGAAAAGACAATAGGTGTTTTGTTGAAGAGAAGAAAGGGGAAAACCTGATGCTGCGGTGGACGGGGCCCTGCCCGGGAGAGGGCTGCCCAGACCCGGGCCCTGCCTGGCTCCCTCCTCTCCTTTCAGCCAGAGAGAGAAAGGACCTTGCATTCCCAGGAGCCGGGGGAATAATGCCCAGCCCTCCCTCCCTCCCCGTGGCCCTGCCTCCTGTCCCCAGGCCTGTGGGCACCAGCGTCTCCCTTTATGACAATCATTTCTGTGTGGCTGTCTTACCTTACTGATGAAGACAAACCCTGGGTCCACGTTTCAGAGCCATCTTCAAATCTCTCTTTTAAAAAACTTAAAAAAATATGTCTTTAATGATTTCAGAGAGGAAGGCGAGAGAGAGAGAGAGAGAGAGAGAGGAGGAGAGGAGAGAGAGAGAGAAACATCAATGATGAGAATTGTTGTAGAGTAAACGCCAGTCAACAACCATTGGAGTCCGGTCCAAATTAAAATTTAGGGAGCCTTTGTTTTATTTTATTTTTAAATATATTTTATTGACTTTTTTACAGAGAGGAAAGGAGAGGAGTAGAGAGCTAGAAACATCCATGAGAGAGAAACATCTACCAGCTGCCTCCTGCACACCCTCCACTGGGGATGTGCCTGCAACCAATGCACATGCCCTTGACCGGAATCGAACCTGGGACCCTTCAGTCCGCAGGCCGACTCTCTATCCACTGAGCCACACCGGTTTTGGCGAGGGACCAGTTTTATTTTTTATTTATTTTTTAAAAATATATTTTATTGATTTTTTTACAGAGAGGAAGAGAGAGAGATAGAGAGCTAGAAACATCTATGAGAGAGAAACATCAACCAGCTGCCTCTTGCACACCTCCTACTGGGGATGTGCCTGCAACCAAGGTACATGCCTTTGACCAGAATTGAACCCGGAACCTTTCAGTCCGCAGGCCGACACTCTATCTACTGAGCCAAATCAGTTCCGGCGAGGGACCACTTTTAACCACATCCTGTTTTGGCAGAACAAGTAACCCAAGACAAAACAGTTTTTCCCAAATAATGTCGGGGCCATGCTTTTGACCATGTTGTTCACAGGGTTCTCCTGTTCTCCAGAAAGCTGACAGTGTTCTGTCTTGCAAGGCTACTTTGTGAAGTGCAAGGGAAGGGGGCCTGAGACCGTATCTCAAGGCCTGGCCTGGTGTCAGCACGGACAACTCTGTCTGGGGCATGGTCCACGGCCTCTCCAGAAGCATGCTGAAAAATACCCCCTCGCCGAAACCGGTGTGGCTCAGTGGATAGAGCATCGGCCTGTGGATAGAGCCCCAGGTTCGATTCCGGTCAAGGGCATGTATCTTGGTTGTGGGCACATCTCCGGTATGGGGCGTGCAGGGGGCAGCTGGTCGATGTTTCTCTCTCAGCGATGTTTCTAATTCTCTATCCCTCTCCTTTCCTCTCTGTAAAAAAATCAATAAAACATATTTTTAAAAAAATGTCCCCTCTCCAACAAGAAGCATCGATTGGATGCCTCCTGTACCCCCCCACACTGGGGGTCGAGCCCGCAACCCAGGCCTGTGCCCTGACTGGGAATCGAACTGTGACCTCCTGGTCCATAGGTCGATGCTCAGCCCCTGAGCCACACGGGCCAGGCCAAACCTCCTCGCCCAGGTCTGGCCTCTGTGCACCCAGTGTCCCTCTGCCTCCCCTCGCCAGGATGACGTTAGTGTCCATGCGGATAATCCCAGATCATCTCCCGGGTGAGAGCCTTAGCTTAATCACGCCTGCAAAGTCCCCTCACGGAGCCACACTCCCTCACATCTCCATGTCACTGCCACAGGACCCGATTCCCTGGGCCTGTGGTCAGCCCCACCCAACACCCTTGCACGGCCTTCCAGGCCATCCTGCGAGACTTCTCTCGCCCGCCTGTCCCCAGGCCTGTTCGCCGTCTTCCCGGAGGGCACCCTGCACGGCTCCTTCACGGCGAAGGTTCTCGGAGTTTGTGTCTCTGAAATATCTATTGGACCTCCTCCTCCTCCTCCTCCTCCTCCTCCTCCTCCTTTTTAGAGAACTTCTGTGAGTTTACTTGGGCCATAGACCTTCTTTTGTTTTGTTTTTTTAATCCTCACCCCAGGATATTTTCCAGTTGATTTTTAGAGAGAATGGAAGAGAGAGGGAAAGACAAGAGAGAAACATCCCCACGGGACGCTCTCCCTCGAAGGTAGGGTCATCCCGCTGTCCACTAGAAATGTCACCTGAGCCGAAACCCGTGTGGCTCAGTGGATAGAGCGTTGACCTGCGGACGGAAGGGTCCCAGGTTCGATTCCGGTCAGGGGCATGTACCTTGGTTGTGGGCACATCCCCAGTGGGGGGTGTGCAGGAGGCAGCTGGTCGATGATTCTCTCTCATCGATGTTTCTAGCTCTCTCTCTCCCTTCCTCTCTGTACAAAATCAATAAAATATATTTTTTAAAAAAGAGAGAAGAAATGTCACCTGAGCATCCACCTATGGACCAGGTCAGAATTCGATTCCCAATCAGGGCACAGGCCAGGATCGCGGGCTCAATCCCCAGGGTGGGGCGTCAGGGGGCAGCGGGTCAGTGATTCCTTCTCATCACGTGTCTCTCTCTCCCTCTCCCTCAGGTCTCTGAAATCAGTAAAAATATTTAAAAGAAGAAAAAGGAAATGTCACTTGTCCCGGCCGTGCCCGTGCCTTACCACAGCCCCCTTTCGGAAAAGGCCCCCGACCCCTCGCCTTGGACTCCGCTCCTCTCGCACACCCAGCCCGTCAGCTGGGCCCGCGCCGCGGGTGCCCTCACCGCCGCCAGCGCCCTCGGCCTCCGCCCCAGGCCTTCCCGGCGCGGGGCGGGCGCCCCCGGGCCGCCCAGGGGCCGGGCTGTCACCGGGGGCGGCGGGCGGCGGGGCGGCACCTTCCGGGGAATCAGCGACCAACCCGGCGGCTGGAGCCGGAGAGGCCCCCGGCCCCCCCCCCCGCCCGGCCCCCCCCCCCCCCGCCCCGCTCCCCGCCCGGCCCCCCGCCCGGCCCCTCCTGCCCCCCGCCCGGCCCCCATCCCCCCCCCCCGCCCGGCCCCCGCCCGGCCCCTCCTGCCCCCCGCCGCCCCGCCTCCGCACGGCCCCCCCCTCCCCGCCCGGAGCCCCGCCCCCCGGTGGCGTCTGGGGCGCGCGACCCGGAGGCGGAACCGCCCGGCGGCGCACACTCGGCTGGGAGCGCGGAGCCCGGAGCCCGGAGCCCCGCCGCGCCCGCCATGCGCGCCCCCGCCGCGCGCCCCCCGCGACCCCCGCGACCCCCGCGCCCCCCGCGCCCCCGGCCGCCGCTGGCGCTGCTGCCCGCGCTGCTGCCCGCGCTGCTGGCCGCCCTGCTGGCCGCGCCGCCCGCCGCTGCGGCCGAGGCCCCGGTCCTGGTGCGCGTGGACGCGGCCCGCGTGCTGGGGCCGCTCCGGCCCTTCTGGCGGAGCACGGGCTTCTGGTGAGGCGGGGCGGGGGCAGGAGGGGCAGGAGGGGCAGGAGGGGCGGAGGGGCAGGAGGGGCAGGAGGGGCGGGGCGGAGGCAGGAGGGGCGGAGGGGCAGGAGGGGCGGGGCGGGGGCAGGAGGGGCAGGAGGGGCGGGGGCAGGAGGGGCAGGAGGGGCAGGAGGGGCGGGGCGGGGGCAGGAGGGGCGGAGGGGCAGGAGGGGCGGGGCGGGGGCAGGAGGGGCAGGAGGGGCGGGGGCAGGAGGGGCAGGAGGGGCAGGAGGGGCGGGGCGGGGGCAGGAGGGGCGGGGCGGGGGCAGGAGGGGCAGGAGGGGCGGGGCGGGGCAGGAGGGGCGGGGCGGGGGCAGGAGGGGGCAGGAGGGGGCAGGAGGGGTGGGGCGGGGGCAGGAGGGGCGAGGAGGGGGCAGCAGGGGCCGGGCGGGGGCAGGAGGGGCGGGGCGGGGGCAGGAGGGGGCAGGAGGGGCGGGGCGGGGGCAGGAGGGGCGAGGAGGGGGCAGCAGGGGGCAGGAGGGGCGGGGCGGGGGCAGGAGGGGCGAGGAGGGGGCAGCAGGGGCCGGGCGGGGGCAGGAGGGGCGGGGCGGGGGCAGGAGGGGCGGGGCGGGGCAGGAGGGGCGGGGCGGGGGCAGGAGGGGCGGGGCGGGGCAGGAGGGGCAGGGCGGGGGCAGGAGGGGCGGGGCGGGGCAGGCGGGGCGGGGCGGGGGCAGGAGGGGCAGGAGGGGCGGGGCGGGGGCAGGAGGGGCAGGAGGGGGCAGGAGGGGCGGGGCGGGGCAGGCGGGGCGGGGCGGGGGGCCTCGGATGCGGGGCTCGGCGGCCCTGTGCCTCTCCGGCCGGCGCCCCTCCCACCTGGGCCGCGGGCCCTGGGCCCCCTTGTCCCGGGCGGAGAGACCGGCTCCTGCGCCCCGGCACACAGGAGGCGCTGCCAAGCAGGGAAGCGGCCCAAGCGGCCCCTCTCTCCTCCGAGGCCCACCCGCGCCCAGTGGGGGTCCCCTCTGTCCGACTCCATGGGAGCTTGGGTGCCGGAAGGGCGATCTCGCTGAGGGAGGAGGGAGGTGGAGGGCTGGGCCCGCTGATGGCGGAGGCGGGGTGGGGGCAGCCCGGCCCCGGAAGGGCCTTGTCTCCGGACACTGCCCTCTGCCGCCCGAGCCCTCCCGGGGCAGCCCCGGGCGATAGGGCGCCCTGCCTGGCACCTGTCCTCACTCTGGGCCCCTGACCCTCTGCCAGGCTGGGAGCTCGGATCCGGGCTGCGGGGGCCAGGAGCAGGGTGGGTGAGTCCTCCCTCCTCGGGGAGCCCCTGGCCCCGAAACCTGAGTCTTCGTCACGTTTCTGGCCTTGGGGTCACCGCCCCAAGGGAGCATCATCCGCTCCCGGGCACTGCCCAGCCCGCCCCCGGAGCATGTCCCGGGCAGGCCCGGCGAGGCTGTGTCCCTGCGGGTGTGGGTGCGGCTGGCTGTGGCCGCCCTCCCGGAGACTGATGCTCCCGCCCTTGCTGCCCCAGCCCCCCGCTGCCGCACAGCCGCGCTGACCTGTTCGACCTCAGCTGGGACCAGCACCTCAACCTGGCCTACGTGGGCGCCGTGCCGCACGGCGGCATCGAGCAGGTGCGGACCCACTGGCTGCTGGAGCTTCTCACGGCCAGGTGGGTGTGGGGGCGCCGGCGGGCGGGGGCTCTGCGGAGACAGGGCCGAGGCTGTGCCTCGGGGACCTCGCACTTCCGAGCAGTGTCCTGGGGGGATGGGAGGAGGGAGACCTCTGTATTCACACTCAGGTCCTGTGCCCGGTTTTTTATTTTTATTTTTATTGATTTCAGAAAGGGAGGGAAAGAGAGGGAGAGAGAAATATTAGTGATGAGCGGGAACCATTGACTGGCTGCCTCCTGCACGCCCCTGAGGACCGAGCCCACAGTCCAGGCAGGTGCCCGTGACCGGAATCAAATCTGGGACCTTTCGGTCCACAGGCCGGCGCTCTATCCACTGAGCCACACAGGCTAGGCAGGTGCTGGGTGTTTGTGAGTCGGCTGTGCAGGGAGGTGGTGCCCGCGGGCCACCTGAGGTTACACTGGTCACACCATGGCCGTGGCCTGGTGTGAGGGACACGTGGGGGCCTTGCCGGGTGTGAGGGACCCGGAGGGGCCTGGCCGGGTGTGAGGGACCCGCGGGGGCCTGGCCGGGTGTGAGGGACACGTGGGGGCCTGGCCGGGTGTGAGGGACCCGGAGGGGCCTGGCCGGGTGTAAGGGACCCGCGGGGGCCTGGCCAGGTGTGAGGGACACGCGGGGGCCTGGCCGGGTGTGAGGGACACGGGGGTCCTGGCCGGGTGTGAGGGACACGGGGGGGGGGGCCTGGCCGGGTGTGAGGGACACGTGGGGGGGGGCCTGGCCAGGTGTGAGGGACACGGGGGTCCTGGCCGGGTGTGAGGGACACGGGGGGGGGGGACCTGGCCGGGTGTGAGGGACACGGGGGGGGGGCCTGGCCGGGTGTGAGGGACACGGGGGGGGGGGGCCTGGCCGGGTGTGAGGGACACGCGGGGGCCTGGCCGGGTGTGAGGGACACGGGGGGGGGGGGGCCTGGCCGGGTGTGAGGGACACGGGGGGGTGGGGGCCTGGCCGGGTGTGAGGGACACGTGGGGGGGGGGGGCTGGCCGGGTGTGAGGGACCCGCGGGGGCCTGGCCGGGTGTGAGGGACACGTGGGGGCCTGGCCGGGTGTGAGGGACACGTGGGAGGGGGTGTTGGGGAGCTTCCAGAGACACAGACCCGCCGGCCTGGCCAGAGCGGCCCGCTCTCCCCGGGGGAGGGCTGCGGGGGCCCAGGGCTCAGTCCTGTTGGCACCGTGCAGGGCGCAGGGCTGTCTCGGGTCCTCATTCAAATAAGACAGTCACTCGAGTGCCAGGCTGGCCGCCGTGACGGCCAGCACAGGGTCGGCTCCGCACAGAGGTGGCTCTTTCAGAGGAGGACATGGTGCCTGTGCCTGGAGTCGGTCTGGGGGACCGGTGACGAGGCATGGGCGTGGGCACCGCCAGGCGGGGTCGGGCAGCGCCGCGGCCTGGGCTACAGCGCGGAGTCGGCGGGCGCGCGCTCCCGGTGCCGGGCTCGGGCGGCCTGCACGGCCTCGTGCACGCTGTGCGGCAGCTGCGCCTCGTCCCCCGCGCCCTCCTGGCCGCCCCCCAGGACGCCCCCTCTGCGCAGGGCATCCCGCACGGGGGGGCTGCAGCCGGCCAGCAGCAGGGCGATGCCCAGCGCCCCGTAATCTCTGCGCAAGTCACGCAGCGTGGCCAGGCCGGCCGCGTCCAGGAACAGCAGCGGGGCGCAGTCGATGACCACCGTGTGGAAGCCGGCCGCCGGCGCCGGCACCAGCGCGGCCGAGCTGCCCGCCGGGCCCCGCCCCGCCCTCCCGGCCGCCTGGCGCCCGGCGTCCAGCCCCGTGAGGCGGGAGAGGGACCGCAGGAAGAAGTCGGCGTTGGTGTAGCAGAGCGGGCCCGCGAAGCGGAAGACCCGCACGCCGGGCGCGGGCACCAGCCCCTCGAACTCGGCCGCGTCCTCGTAGGAGCAGGAGCCCGGGACGCGGGCCAGCAGGGCGGCGCGCGGGCGCTGGGTGCGGCCGGCCAGGCTGAGCAGCGAGAGGAGCAGGCCCCCTAGCAGCCCGCCCTCGGTGCTGACCAGCACGCAGGTGGCCGCCGTGGCCACCCAGACCAGCGCGTCGGCCCGGCTGAGCCGCCACAGCCGGGGCACGTCCCGGGCCTTGCGCAGCGCCCCCCGCAGGCTGGCCACGATGACGCAGGCCAGGACGCAGCGCTGCAGGTCCCGGAACAGCGGGGCCAGCGCCAGCAGCACCAGCAGCACCACGGCGGCGCTGACCACGCCGGACAGCTGCGTGCGGCCGCCGGCGGCCTCCTTCACCAGGCTCTTGGCCAGCGCGGCGCTGGTGGCGAAGCAGTGGAAGAAGGCGGGCAGCAGGTTGCAGCAGCCCACGGCCAGCAGCTCCTGGTCGGCGCGCACGGCGTAGCCGTGGCCGCGGGCGAACATCTCCGCCAGCGAGACGGAGAAGGCCGAGCCCACGAGGGCCAGGGGCACGGCGTCCAGCGCCACGCGCCACATCAGCGCCGGGTCCGGCGCCCGGGGGGCCACGAAGCCGGTGGGGATGTCGCCGGCCACGCTGGAGCCGAAGCGGGCGTGGAGCCGCCCGAAGTGGGACACCAGCGTGGCCGCCACGAGGACCAGCAGCTCCGTGGGCAGCGGCACCCTCAGGCGGCGCCGGCAGCGGTCCGAGAGCTCCCGGGCCGCCAGCAGCACGGCCAGGCACACGGCGCTGGTCAGCACGTCACACGGGTTGGCCTGCCCGGCGCTCCGCAGCAGGCTCAGCCACGTGCGCACCGCCAGGCCCGGCCCCTGGTGCCGGGGCAGCCGCACGCCCAGCAGGTGCCTCAGCTGGGACGTGAGGATGGTCACCGAGGCCCCCATGGCAAAGCCGTCGAGCAGCGGCTGCGAGAGGTAGGCGGACAGGAAGCCCAGCCGCAGCACGCCCAGGAGGACCTGCGGGCAGAGGTCGAGAGGTGGTGGCCGTCCATTGTGACCCCAAAGGCACCCCTCCTGCCCCACAGGTGGCGCCGCCCCCTCCCCAGGCCCAGAGACAACGGAGGGGGCCTTGGGGTTGCGGTGGACACGCCAGGACAGGAGGGTGGGATGGGGAGGCCCAGGAAGGCGGGCAGCCCCCGGGGTCCCACTGGGGGGCAGGACGCCCGGGGAGGCCGTGTGGGCCGGTCACACTCCGGCTCCCTATCCCTGCTGGCCGCCAGGCGCCCTGGGCCCCGGGCACCCTCAGCCCCGGCGCTCTGCCCCGGGCACCATCCCAGGCCTCCCTCTGCCTGTGCCTTGCTCAGTCCTGTTCCTGTGGTCAAACCCGCATCCTTCGAGGCTCCATCCCTGTGCCTCCCCGAGCCTGGGCCTCCGGGGGCACAGCGAGAACCCAGAGGACCCTCCCCCCCCTGCTGCCCGGCCGGCTCCGCACCTGGTAGATGCCGGTCATCAGCGTGAGGGCGGTGGCCACGCGGATGGCGTAGCAGTCGCGCCCGCAGTCCGGCGGCCCGGGCGCCAGGCCGGCCGCGGAGGCGTTGGGGGCGCCGCTGCCGTTCCCGGGCGCGGGGCCGTCCTGGGCGGGGTCGAAGCCGGCCAGCAGGAGCTCCCGGTCCACCACCTGGCCCACCATGAGGCAGAGCAGGCTGAAGATGCCCACAGAGACGTGGCGGGAGGTGCCCATGAGGAAGTAGATGAGGTTGGCGAAGAAGGATGTGTAGAGGCTGTAGACGGGCTGCAGCCCGGCCAGCAGCGCGTAGGCGATGGCCTGCGGCACCAGGATGATGCCGATGACCAGCCCGGACATGACGTCGCCCGCCAGGTCCTCCCGCGGGCGGTACCGGGGCAGCCAGCGCGTGGCCGGGAACAGGTCCCCCAGCAGCGCCCGCGCCCCCCGCACGCTGCATGCACAGCTCCGCCGCAGCCTGGCTGTCAGCGTCCGGCGCAGGCCCGGGGGGGCCGGGGGCCTCCGGCGGACCAGCACCGGGGCCCCACCCTGCAGCTCGGGGGACCCGTCCATCGCGGGAGCCGGGCCTTCCGGAACCTGCTGTGGAGACGTGGGTGTCAACCTGGGGGCAGCGGGAGGTGCATCACGGGCGCAGGCTCTGCTGCACCCTGTCCACCTCCCGGTCCGGCCCAGGCCCTGCCCTCACCCTCACCGACGCCCCCCCATGCCCTGGGGCCCTGGGGGGATGGAGGCCGGGAAGGAGCCACAGCCCCAGCACCTGCTGGGCCCAGGGCGGGAACCCTGGCACCTGGCAGAGCCAGCTGTCCTGACTGTGGGCCCCTCCCCACGGGGAGGCAGCTCTCCTGGTCTTGCCTCAAAACACACGTGTGCACCGTGCAACACGAGTGCCTGCCGTCCGGCCCGGCCCTGGACACTGCCCTCTCAGTGACCTCACCCTGGTCACCCCGCCTGTGCCGAGAGCCGGCCAGGACACGGGCCTGGACTGCTGGGGTGTGGAGGGTGCGGGGCCTGGCACTGCCCCGTGGACTCCCGTGGCTCCTCCCGTTTAGGGGACCCAGGAAAGCTGTGCCCAGAGACCTCACCCCAGGGCTCGGACTCTAAACGCCGCCTGCCTTGTGCTGGGGGTCCCCCAAAAGCCAGGCCCGTGCCTCTCCCCGGGGAGCCTTCGGGTCCACACAGGCCCCGCGGGACTTACCTGAGGGACCCTCCCGGGCTCGGGCTCGGTGGGCAGTGAGGGCTGGCGGCTGTCTGTCCTCCTGGCCCAGCCCGGGTCTGCTGGCCGGCTGGCCAGACCCCGAGCCCGACCGCAGACGGTGCTGGGCGGGCTGGGCTGGCCATTAAATTATTTACCCCGGAGACTGCTGAGTCAGCCCCCCAGCCTTCCCCCGACACGGTGCCCTGAGCGGCTGTCCTGGGAGCTGTGCTGTAATCAGGCCCCGAGTAATTACCTGTGTGGCCTCGACCGGCCCCCAGCCTCCCGGGGTGGGCTGCGGGGGCAGGGACCGGGCCGCCCAGGGCAGCGTGGGGCTGGGCAGGGTGCGTGGGAGGAGGCCCTGGCACCTGGGATCCAAAAGGATGGGTATGGACCAGGGAAGGGTCCCACC